GCCCACACCCTCCCTCGTCCCGAGGACCCTGCACCTGGCGCACGCCCCCGCGCCTGCCCCGTGGGCCCACACCCCGCCTGGTCCCGAGGACCGTGCACCTGGCGCACGGCCCCGCGCCTGCCCCGTGGACCCACACCCTCCCTCATCCCGAGGACCCTGCACCTGGCGCACGGTCCCGCGCCTGCCCCGTGGGCCCACTCCTCGCCTGGTCCCGAGGACGCTGCACCTGGCGCACGGCCCCGCGCCTGCCCCGTGGATCCACACCCTCCCCCGTCCCGAGGACCGCAGCCCCGCCCCCGAGAGGACCCCGCCCCGGCACGTAGGCCCGCCCCGGGGAACGCAGTCCCGCCCCCTCTCCCCCGCCACCGAGTGCACAATCCCTGGTACGCGGCCCCGCGCCCGCCCGTAGCCCCACACGCTGCCTCGTCCCGAGGACCAACCCCGCTCCTGGCACGCAGCCCCGCCCCCAAGGACCACGCCCCGGCGCGCAGCCCCGCCGCCGCGAGGACACCGCCCATGGCACGCGGCCCCGCACTCGCCCGTATCTCCACACGCTGCCCCGCCCCGCGACCCCGCCCCTGGCACGCAGTTCCGTGCGTGGCCCCGCCCTCTCACGCCCCGAGGACCCTGCCCCCAGCCCGACCCGTGGCACGCGGCCCCACCCCCAGCCCGCGGATCCGGGGACGGAGGCGGGGCCTGAGCCCGGGGTCGTGAGGGCGGGGTTGGTCCCGTGCAATGGCGGCGGCGGCTGCGCGCGGAGCCAAGCGGAGCCTGCGGGCCGAGCTGAAGCAGCGTTTGCAGGCTATGAGCGCCGAGGAGCGGCTACGCCAGTCTCGCCTCCTGACCGAGAAGGTGCAGGACCACGGGGACCACCTCCGCAGCGGCTTGTCGCAGAGTCGGCGGCCCATGCTGGCGGAGCTGCGCAGGCGCGGTGCCTCGGCGCGCTCGTCCCCCGACGCGCGCACGTCCTGTCGGAGTCGGGGGCGAGGCGGGGCCGCCGTGGGCTCCGAGCCGGGGGAGCGGGGCTGGCGGCGGGAGGCCCGGTGGGAGAGGCGCGCCTTCCGCGAGCGATGAGGTAGCGGACCGCGAAGGCGAGCCCAGTGCCGTCAGTAGTCACTGGGGGACGCGGTGCTTCTCTGACGGGGGTCCCGCGGGGCAGGCGCGGGCCGGCCCGGGGGCTCCAGAGACGCGGCGGTTCCGTCCGGGGTCAACACGCCCGCTGCCCCCGCCGCACTGGCGGCCCCGGAACGGCGTCCCCGAGAGCGGGGCTCAGCAGCCCTCCTGCGCCGCGGCCGGTGGCGCCTCCAGTTCCGGGGCCCCCGGGGTCGTCCTCGCGCGGTGCGGGGCTCCTGCCGGTCCCGGGGTCGCTGGCCCGGCTGCTTCGGCCCTTCGGGGGAAGGCGGTGTGGGGCCGCAGCCCGGTGCTGGCGGGACCCTCGGCGCCTCCCGTCTGCTCGCTGCAGGTGCGCAGGGACGCCTTCCTGTCGGTCCTAAAGACGTTCAGTCTTACGGACGCGGTTCCTTCATAACTTGGAAATTCATCGGAAAAGGAAGGTGTGGTGAAGACATTAGCCTCGTGCCTTGTCTTGGCTCCCTAACTGCAGAGCGCGAGGGGGTAGTGCCCTGGCTTCAGTCCCCGCCCCACCTGCCCTTCCCACGCGTGTAGCGTGACACCTGCGTTGTCAAGTTTTGCAGTATTTATAGTCTTAGTTATAATGAGTCTGTTAAGCATTTTCTGTGGCTAATCACCAAGCTCGAAATTCAAGCTTGAATAGTATTCACTGGAGAGCCAGGTCGGAGGAAACGGCCACCGAGAGGTGTGTGGGCAGGAGAGAAACGTTTCAAGTGTCTATACCAGATACATTTTTTATGCTTTACAATTGCTCAAAATCATGATGTTTTGCTTCGTTCCTATTTGGAGTATAAATCTCTAATGTAACTGTGTTTTTCAAGGAGTTTCTGATGGTCTTTATTTTTCCTTTATTGGCAAAGCAAAAACATGCCTTTTTCTCATCAATCGATTCTTGCTCATTTTGTTTCTTAAAATCACTTTCTTCCCAAAGCGCCCTGCACCTTGCGGTCTGGTCGCCTGCCAGCTGGTTGCCCACCACTGCCCCTGTCCCTTCCTCTCTGCTGCTGAGTTTGGGCTATTTTTTTAGTCCAGTGTCATCCTTTTGGGGCTTATTTCTTCTTTTTTTTTTCTTAATATTCCTTCTGGGTTTTTTTTTCATCTTGAGTGTATCTCCAAATTGTTTTTTAAAGAAAGTATCTGAGGCAAACTTTTTAATACCTTTATATGTCCGAAAATGTGTTTTCCCTCATATGTGATCCATAGTTGGAATTTGAAGTTTGGCTTTGTTTTTCCTTGTTCTCATTAGCGCCTCCGACCTCCGTTCAGTCCAGGCTGGTGTTTCTATTATATCCCTGATTATTTTTTTTTCTGTGTGCCTTTCCGCAATTCCTGTTAATCAAATGGTAAAAACGCTTTGTTGATTTCCGATGTCTCTTAGCATTTTTTTCTCATTTTCCCCATTTATTTGCCCTTTTCCTCTACTTTAAGACTTCCTCCTGAATTGTTTTAATTTTGGTAGTCTTTTTTTTTTTTGAGAGGGCATCTCTCATATTTATTGATCAAATGGTTGTTAACAGTTAAGAACAATAAAATTCTGTACAGGGGACTCAATGCACAATCATTAATCCACCCCAAGCCTAATTCTCATCAGTCTCCGATCTTAAGCACAACAAACAAGTTCTTACATGGGGAACAAATTCTTACATGGTGAACAGTGCAAGGGCAGTCAACACAGAAACTTTCGGTTTTGATCACGCATTATGAACTATAAACAATCAGGTCAAATATGAATATTCGTTTGATTTTTATACTTGATTTATATGAATCCCACATTTCTCCCTTATTATTATTTTTTAATAAAATGCTGAAGTGGTAGGTAGATGCAAGATAAAGGTAGAAAACATAGTTTAGTGCTGTAAGAGGGCAAATGTAGATGATCAGGTGTGTGCCTGTAGACTAAGTGTTAATCCAAGCTAGACAAGGGCAGCAAAACATCCACGGATGCAGAAGATTTCTCTCAAAACAGGAGGTGAGGTTCTAAGCCTCACCTCTGTTGATCCCCAATTTCTCACCTGATGGCCCCCCTGCGACTGTGCCTGTCTTAGGTTGTTTCTCCCATGAGGAATCTTATAATTTTGGTAGTCTTAATTTTAATTTCCATGTATTATTTCTTAGTTCTCTGGTTGCTTCCCAAAGCAGTCTGTTGTTTTGAGGATGCAACTATCTTCTTGAATTTGTCTAATAAAACTAATTAGATTTTAAAACAAAATTCCTATTCTCTGACTTATCTCACTTCCCCACTGGATCATTCCCCCTCACTTAAAAAAAAATCCTCTTTTGTGTTTTAGCTTTCTAAATTGATGAATCTCTATTGTTTGTACATACTTAAGAATGACAGTGCGGTAGGGACTGGGGGTCACCTTTGCCTTTTGCAGTCGCTTTGGGATGCCATGGGAGGAATGGACTGTGCCTGACCTACAGCCGTGTTCCCTGGGTGTTGTGACCTGCTGCTATTTGGTCTGTGAATACTGTCCCATCTAGTCTCTGTCTTACGGAAATTAGTCAAATCTCTGTTCTTTGGTTCTCAGTGTTTTAATGGTTTTCTTTTTTTATGCTTCTATGCTGTCCTATAAAAGATTTAAAGGAAGATAAATGTGTGTGCACAAGAGTCTCACACTGAATGTTTATTACAGTTTATGCAGCTCTTGATTTTCCTATATTCGGCTTGAAATTTAGAGAACGAGACACTTAACTTTCTCTGCAAGGACTTGGGCGCCAAAAGCCTCAGATCTGGGTGTCACGTCTCTGTTTGCTTTGCCTATTTCAGGCCCTCTAGCAGCCTTGTAACTTCGCTGAAAGATGGAGTTAACTTCCTTCCTTGGCGCTAGTTTGCTGTCCTCTTTCTACTAATTTCAGTGTGTCCCTTTTTATTAGGAATAACTTGAATTTCTGCACCTGTGTTTTTCTGCCAGTCATATTTATGTCACTTTTGCAGTATTTTTTTTTTTTCTTAGCTCAGAGAGCAGGGAAGAACAGAAAAGAAGGGGAGAAAGGGGAGCTAAGAGCTAACTGATGAGTCTGGGAGGTTGTGAGATTGTTCACTTTCTATGGCCAGCGAAGCTCAGCCCCATTCTGCCTGATGACTGGTTAGACTGATAAGAGACGTCCACCTTCTCACAGCGTGTTTTTAGAGGGGCTTTGCCTCTCCAAGATCCACCCACTTCCCATCTTTGTGAACATTTTAACATTCCTCTCAACAGAGTTGTAGGAAATAGGATGGAGGTGGGTAGAGCTAAGAGAATTATTACATGTTCTCTGTCTTCTGGGAGCTTACAGACTGGTTAGAATAGGGCATTTAGGGCACATGAAGCATCTAGAGATCAACTGCCAATACACAGCTAAGTGTTAAGTTGTATATTAACTCTAAATGTAGCGAGGGTTCTGTAGAAGTCAGGAAAAGTTAGGGCTTAAGTTGGCTTAAATGTGTGGAATTTAGGAGGAGAGGAGCTTGCTGATGGAGGGAAGAAGCTTGGGGGAGCCACGGCTCAGAATCAAGATAAAGCAAAGACCAGGGAACGTGCGGGGCAGTGGAAGACTAGGGGGGTGGGCAGTGGAGGCCAGGCCTGGAATTCTCAGAACAGGTGTCAGGACGCCACAGTGACTTCTCAGCGCATTCTCACACGCCCTGGAGCACGTGGGCCAGAGGGTAAAGGGATCAGAGAAGTTACTGCTGGATTCAGAACCAAAAGTTAGGCTTCAGGATGTCATGCCGTCTGACCCGCTGCGTGCGTGTGCGTGTGTGTGTGTGTTTTATTCTTGGATAGTTAAGTTGAAAAAGGCCAGGAGAGAAGGGAGTTGAAATTGTCCAAGTGTTAAAATTGTTAAGGAGTCACTGGATTTTAAAAGTGTAATCTTGGAAAACCTAATTGTCATCATTTCCCATTTAGGTGATTGCCCACAGTCAGTATCAAAAGTCCAGGAGGGTTTCCATCTTTCTGAGCATGCAAGATGAAGTTGAGACGGAAGAGATAATCAAGGACATTTTCCGACAAGGCAAAACCTGCTTTATACCGCGGTACCAGTTCCAGAGCAATCACATGGATATGGTGAAATTAGCATCAGCTGCAGAAATTTCTTCACTTCCCAAAACATCGTGGAACATCGCTCAGCCTGGGGAAGATGAGGTTCGGGAGGAGGCCTTGTCGACAGGTGAGTCACAGTGTTAGGAGGCTGTCAGACCTTCAGGGAGCTAGACCTCAACCCACGTGTCATGTTTGGGTCAGTGGAGGTCGCTTTTCCTGTAGGGATGAAATTGTATTTCACTCATATTCCAAGACACCCACATGCCCCAACTTGGGTGAGATGCCCGCTGCAGGCTGCGAGGCACCAGCCGTCAAAGTTCCTACGGCGATGTTGCGTCTTCAGAGACTCTTGGCCTCACCTTGTGGGTCTAATTATATGTGTTTCCTGAATGATTTCATCATTTCCCCTGGTTTCAGGTATGCTCTGTATGTTAATAATTAATATTATTGCTAATATGCGTCTGTATACCCCGTCCAGAACTGCCGCCCTGGACCTCTCTGCTGGTGGTCACGCGGGCACCTCAGCTGCGCACGCGCCCCTCAGCCCTTACTGCCAGGGTGCCCTCTCAGTGTTTGACGCCCGCAGCCACCCAGTGAGCCGTGCCAGAGCATCCTTGACTCCTGACTTTCTCTCGCACCCCTCGTGTGGTCTGTTGCCGTGCTGGTGATTTTACTGAGTGTTTATTGAATCTGTCTGCCCTGTCCAGGCCCCCTGCTGCTGCGGGAGGAGCCACCGGCTTCTCTTGTCCGGCCGTCATGGCCTCCTTCCTGCCCCCCCGTGCCCTGCACGCTCTTCTCCCTCTCAGCCAGGGTTTCTGGAACACCAGTATGGCCGCTTCTCTCCTGTCCGAAGCGTTGCACTGGCCCCGCTGCCCAGGGCTCAAGTGGGTGCCTGTAGCAAGGCTCCTCCTGACCTGGCGCTGCCCGTCCTTCTGTTTCCACGTCTTCCTTCTCCCCCCTTCTTGGCCTAAGTGCCCGTCGCTCCGAGTGTCTGTTTCCCAGCCCCACCGCCTTTCTACTGCTGGACCTTCACACCTACTCTTCCCCGACCAGCAGCCACTTGGGAGATTTAATTATTGTCAGGCAGGCGGAGCCGGAAACAAAACAGGCTATGGGTCTGTTTTGTAATACAGAATCTCAGACCCACCTCGGAGGGACGTATCTTTGACCAAGACTTAAATAGTTGCAAAGAAACCGCAGAGCAGCTTTATACAGTCCTCCCCCAATTTCTGCCCCTCCAGCACAGCGCTGTACCCTGTGACCGGGTGGTCGGGGATCACGTTGAGGGCCAGTGGTAGTAGGGAGGTTATCTGCCTGGCTCCTGCAAGTTCCCCTGTATTGTCCAGCCCTGCACTTGGCTAGGTGTTTGGACCCCGAAGGAACACTCGGGCCTCTCTCCTTCGTGTCCTGCATCAGTAGACCAGGTGAATGCCAACTTCATAAAACTTTAATATCTCAAGGGGAAGGGTTACAAGTATTTTAAGGCAGTGAGACAGTAGGTGAGCGTATCTTTTGGGGCAGTCCAGGCTAACATAAGGAAAGACAGGAACTGTCGGCTCTGACATTGCTCACAGTTGACGCACGTACCTCCCCAGGCACATCCCCTCATTTGCGGTTGGGCCCAGGACACCGTCCCGCCTCCGTTTGACTTCAGGTGCACATCCCCTCTGGGGCTGGCATTGTCTCCTTAATGTCCGTGCTGATTGACACCGCGTGAGCTCCTCTGTAGCCAGCCCGTCGCCTTTGCAGAGCAGCTCTGCCTCTCCCGGAGTGCATTCCTCAGGTGGAACGTAAAGGGGTCACCTGAACCCCTGTGCCTTTGTTCCAGCAGTGGGAAGAGGGAGGCAATACCATCTTTCCTCTTGATTCAGTCGCCCTTCGCGGTTAGGACGCAGTCCCAGTAAGTGAACAAAGTCACGTGTGTACGGGTTCCAGCGCGTCGTTTGGCACATAGGAGCTGTTCGTTAAATGCTGTTAACCGAGTTCAAGCAAGGAAGGCAGAATTATTCCTTACATCGCCGCTCATTGCTGGCTTCCGAGCATGTACTTCCGTCTGGTGCTCTGTAAGATCGGGAAAGGGGAGGTCCTGGGCTTGAAGGGGCTCCCATGTTAGTTGGGAGGCAGAAGATGTGTACAGGTGGAATCAGCATCCGAACCTGCAGTGTATGTCAGATATAAATGCCAAATGAAAAGATACAGAATTAAGAATAGAGAAGTTCAGGGCCTGGCCCCGAATAGAAGTTCACCCTAAGACAGGTTCTTCGTTTCCTTCTCCCCTGTAGCGTTTACCCCTCCCGTATTTGTGGAACCGACTGTTTTCTTCCCCCCATGAAATTTTCTCTGCAGATGCTTATAATCTGGGTTGCAAAGGGGTACAGACCACTTCTCTGTTCAGGCCTTTCCCTGTGTACCCCCTGAGCAGACCACGGTTCCCGAGAGCTGATTGCTGCCCAAAGCAGTGACATCGGGGAAAACAGATGCTCAGACCTCTGGCCTTCCTCTCCTCTCCTCTGCCCCGGCCCTGGCTTCTCGCAGTGCACTTCCTCTGCCTCAGCCAAAGTGGTGTGCCGGACGGAGGACAGCAGTTTAACCTCAACTCTATTTTCCTGGGTTTATGGTTCACTGCTTCTGCTTTTAGTCCATGTCTTCCTCATTCTTGATTGATGTATTTTTATTAATCTCTTGGTCAGATGGTGTATTCCTTTAAGTCGTTTTTTCCAGTATGATATATGGGGTGTTAATTTCAGAATGCTTTTATTTTTGAGGCTGTCTTTGTTCCCACCGGTGAATTCTTGAATGGGGACAGAATTGTTGGGTCACATCTTTTTTTTCCACTAAAAATTCTAGACCAGAGATTGGCAGACATTTTCTGTCAAGTCCAAACAGTAAACACTGAAGGCCTTGCAGGCCACTGGGTCTCTTCCCAGCGCCTCCTCTGTGCTGTTGTGATGTGAAGGCAGCCGTAGACATATGTTGATAGATGGGCATGGCAGGGCTCCAATAAAACTTTATTCACACAGACAGGCAGTGGGCCAGACTGACCCTGGGACTAATTTGTTGACTGTGTCCTAGACAGGTGATCCATTGTCCTGTGGCATTTAGCATTGTAGGTGAAAAGGCTTGTGTCACATCCGTTGTTTCCTTTGTAAGAAACTTGCTATTTTGTTGCTTGGCTTCTTTTAGGAATTTTCATCTTTGAAATTTACAGTTTCATATTTGTTAATTTTATGAACTTATAGGTACTTGTCTCTTTCATCCTAAAGTTTCATGTCTCTGTCAAGCTCCAGGGGACTCTCTGGTTACCTCTTTGTTCATCTCTGCTTTGCTGTTTCCTGTACTCGTTAGTACTGTCTTTCTGTTCCTTCTGCTGGGTCTCTAATCCATTTCTCTGATCTTTTTCTCGTTGGGTTCTCACCGAGGCGGTTCCCCACCTACTTGGCTCTTTCCTTGATGTGCTCCTCTTCTCATCTGTTCTGTTATTACTGTGCCATTGTTAACAATTTAAATTACCAACTCTTTTTATTTAAATCTCTAAGCAGTTGTTGCGGACCTCAGATTATTTCCTTTGTAATGACCGTGTTATCCAATTTCAAAGGTGTGGTGCATTCTTGTCTCCTTTTTTAAAGCTTTCTCCTGGAATATGTGAATAAAGTGAGATATTTGCACTGATTCTTAAAATAGGTCCTTCTCATTCTTGTTTTGGGAGTTACTATAATTTAATTTTAAAAATACTAATTAAATACTACCATAGACTTAGGGTACTTTCAGGGTTTTCTCTTTTAAATATGTGCAACACCCTGAAATGCTTTGTTTGCCGTGAGCCTGCTCCCCTTCCTTTTCTACGGTCTGTGGCACCCTCATGGCATAAGCACACGTGCCCCTGCACACTCTGGCTCCCAGACACAGGCCCCAAAGTTTGCACCACACATACTGCCAAATAGACGACGGCACACTCTGTTCTTCCAGTTCTCATGAAAGGGCTACATTATTTTAAACATACCTAGAAATACTTCTTTCTCCAAACCCTTCAAGATACAAGTTACTGTATTTCACTTTGAATCTAAGAAGATTTTCTTCTATGAAGAAATTGTCTGCTACATACAGAAACATAGGACAGAGCTCCTTCAGTAATGACTCACTGTCGCATCATAAAATTATAAATGAATCTGTAGAAGACTGAGTTGTATGTACCGGTCTTGGATTGCTGATTGCTGAGGCAATCACACACATGCACACATGCATACGCATGCACACTGTCTCTCATGCACCTACACCAGAGCTTACAGTCTGATCCCAATAAATTGTAAATCGGTGCAGTAACTGAAAATACCCTTCCCACTTGAAGATTTTAGACCTAGAATTTTACATCTTTACTGCTGATTCTTGACCTCCATATTTAGAAACTTACACTTTTTAAATTAAACATTCATTAGAAAAAGTCTCTAGAATTTTCATTAGATATTTATGACCATTTCCCCACACTGTTCTAGTAACTCACTAGTGACTAAGGCATCTTTAATAAATATGGTTGGAAAACTTCTGTCGGTTTATAATTATGATCATTACATTTTTCTATTTCACTCTTCACTAGTTCTCATCTGTTCTGTTATTACTGTGCCATTGTTAACAATTTAAATTACCAACTCTTTTTATTTAAATCTCTAAGCAGTTGTTGCGGACCTCAGATTATTTCCTTTGTAATGACCGTGTTATCCAATTTCAAAGGTGTGGTGCATTCTTGTCTCCTTTTTTAAAGCTTTCTCCTGGAATATGTGAATAAAGTGAGATATTTGCACTGATTCTTAAAATAGGTCCTTCTCATTCTTGTTTTGGGAGTTACTATAATTTAATTTTAAAAATACTAATTAAATACTACCATAGACTTAGGGTACTTTCAGGGTTTTCTCTTTTAAATATGTGCAACACCCTGAAATGCTTTGTTTGCCGTGAGCCTGCTCCCCTTCCTTTTCTACGGTCTGTGGCACCCTCATGGCATAAGCACACGTGCCCCTGCACACTCTGGCTCCCAGACACAGGCCCCAAAGTTTGCACCACACATACTGCCAAATAGACGACGGCACACTCTGTTCTTCCAGTTCTCATGAAAGGGCTACATTATTTTAAACATACCTAGAAATACTTCTTTCTCCAAACCCTTCAAGATACAAGTTACTGTATTTCACTTTGAATCTAAGAAGATTTTCTTCTATGAAGAAATTGTCTGCTACATACAGAAACATAGGACAGAGCTCCTTCAGTAATGACTCACTGTCGCATCATAAAATTATAAATGAATCTGTAGAAGACTGAGTTGTATGTACCGGTCTTGGATTGCTGATTGCTGAGGCAATCACACACATGCACACATGCATACGCATGCACACTGTCTCTCATGCACCTACACCAGAGCTTACAGTCTGATCCCAATAAATTGTAAATCGGTGCAGTAACTGAAAATACCCTTCCCACTTGAAGATTTTAGACCTAGAATTTTACATCTTTACTGCTGATTCTTGACCTCCATATTTAGAAACTTACACTTTTTAAATTAAACATTCATTAGAAAAAGTCTCTAGAATTTTCATTAGATATTTATGACCATTTCCCCACACTGTTCTAGTAACTCACTAGTGACTAAGGCATCTTTAATAAATATGGTTGGAAAACTTCTGTCGGTTTATAATTATGATCATTACATTTTTCTATTTCACTCTTCACTAGTCTACATTAATTTTTTTGAGAAATATTTCTCAATATGATAGCTATAACAAGCTAGAAGAAAAAAATTAGATTGTAAGAAAAATGAACAAAAGTGGTATATTTGTCATCAGCAGTGGGTTATGTTATTGATAACGTGGATTTATCTGCAAAAGGTTGCTGCAGTGATTTCTTTAATTATGAATGCCTTCCCTAAAACAAACAAAGCATATCACAATATTTGGAAATCTGGACTGAACAATGAACTCTTGTGTGTTTTTTAACCCTAAGAAATGGTAAATACCACCATGAAAACACCTGCTATTCCATATGCCTGTGGCCTGAAAGAAGTCAGAATCAGGTAAATGAAAATCAGAAACTGATCAGTCATATCGGCTTTGCCCTTTTCCTTTCTAAAATGTCTTATTTGCTCGCTCATTTATGCAGCAGCTGTGGTCTGAGCGCCGCGAGGCATGGGCGCACTGAGCCCGCACGGCCCGGGGCCTGCTTGTGGGGTCACGTCTTCTGGCTCTCATGCACGGAGTGTGAGAGCTGTTTCTGGAGCTGCGATCCCAGTGGGGCGCAGAGCGGGGCAGGGCTCTCCCGGGGGGCTGTGTACCAAGGCAGAGGCACTAGTGGGTCATCAGCTGCCCTTTGAGTGTCTGCTGACACTGAGCGTGTACTGGATGTTTTTATATCTATGACCTCGGTATTCATCGTGGCAGCAGTACTGTCCCAGTTCCACAGATGAGGAAAGTGAGTCTCAGCACTATTCATGCGCTGCAGTTACGAGGCAGAGCCAGGATTTCCTGCCAGGTCTGCTTTACCCGAAGGTGTGCCCTTCGTGGGGTGGCCCGGTGTCCCCCATGCTGCCATTATGGGCCGTGGCTGTGGACAGGAGGAGGCTCCTCAGTCTGTCAGTCAGCGTTAGCTGGCTGCACAGAAAACCCCAAAGTAACAGAAGTCTGGGGTGGTGGTAGTGGTCTGCAGTCGCCCCCCAGGCCCCAGCCTTGCTGCACGTGCTGTGTGGTCCAGCACAGCACCTCGAGCTGCCCTTTGAACCCCACATTCCGGACAGCCAGAGGAGGGGGGATGGGAAAAACAGCACCCTTCCCTGTACATCCCACTCTCTGGGACCTGGGCCTGGGGCCATACCTACATAGCTGCCCAGGAAGCTGCGGACAGTGGGGTCCGCGGCCTTCCAAACAAAGCCCTGCTTCTGCTGTGAAGCAGGCGGGGGTGAGACCCTGAGGTGTTTGCACAGCAGCGAGCCGCCTCTGCCACACCCAGCCAGAGGCAGGCCCCGATTCTCACGGTGGTCATGGGCTGCCTGGGGGAGCCTGGCAGGCCCGCGCCATGAAGGTCATGGGGTTGAACTGTATTCTCTGAAGTGCCTGACTCGGGGGAGTGGCATGAGCAGGGCTGTGTTTCCTAAGGCTTGTTCTCCGGCCACAGGAGGACAGACCAGGAGTGGGCATCAGCCGGGCCTCCGATGACGAGAGATGGTGGCGCCTGAGAGCGGAGAGGACGAGTGTGTGCCGACACACGCGGCCTGTGGGGTCTCCAGCCTGGGCGGCAGACCACCCGAGGCCGTCGAGGACGGTCTGGCTCGCCGTCTGGGTGCGGAGCTGCTGACCGAGGCAGGGAAGCGGGGCGGGGAGCAGGGAGTGAGTCCCTCCTGGGTGGTCTGGGGCCCCCGGAGATGCTGGTGGGTAGCTGGCTGGGTGTGCAGATCTGGAGGCGGGAGGGCAGATGCTGACCCAGGAGCCCTCGGAGGGCGCTTGTGGGCAGACCCGAGGTTTACAAGCAGGAGCCTGCTGACAGATGTGGGCCAGACTGCGTTAATTTACCTTTCCAGAGGAGGATTCCTAGGTCACATGCTTTTGACATTATTTCTTTGATGGGTGTAGTTTGTAAAAGTACAGAGAACCATAAATATAAATTTGGGGAGTATTAGCTAAAAGGAGAAAGCAGCAGAATCTTTAAGTATATGGCAATAGGTGTTGATAATGTGCGAGAATGAAGAGGCTACAAACGAAGGCAATGTTTGCATGCCTCTGCTTTTGCTGTAGGACGGGCAGGATAAAATGATAAAGGGATGCTGGGAGAAAGAATGCTGTCTTTGGGCAAGACAGTCTTTTATTAGGGCGATAGGATCGATGAGAGTAGGAAATTGGAAATACAAGAATAGCCCTGCCACCCACCCATCCACTTTTCCCATCTCTCCTTCTAGGAGTAATTTTCAGCTGCATGTTGTCAGTGATAAACCACAAATAAAAGCAGATTTACCTAGCGGCCCCCTAGGTAGGACTTGCATCTCTCATATACCATTTGTAGGTTTAACAAATAGAATGAAAGATGCTGAAGGAAAGGAAAGGATGAACTTACGCTGTTGGTTTTTGGTGGTTGGAACGAGGTGCATCTGTGTCCAGGTTGCCATGTCCTTAACGTGGGCACATAGTCTTTGAGAAAGCTGGTATTTGAGGGGATCCATCCACAGCCAGCCTCCTTGGCCAGTCCACGCTGACTCCCTCATCTCAGTTTGTGTTGGGGTTTAAAAGGCAAACAAGCAAACAGCTCCACACGGTAGAGCAGCAGGTCATCCGTGCGTTCATCGGACTGTGACACGCCGTGGTTTAGTAGGCAGAGGATGACAAGAGTCTTACTCCCAGATGAGACCATCTTAGGGTACTTGGCATCCTTCTAGATCATGTGTGTGTCTTCTTTTTAAACCATCTCTACAGAGGGAGTCATACATTCTGTTCTACAATTTGCTTTTTCACTTGCTAATTTTAAACCGTAGAGTTCTTTTCCTAGCAGCCCATGAAGGTCCACCACAGTGTTTCGGATGGTTGCATAGTAACCTCTGTTGGTAGACATTTAGGTGGCTTCCACTTTTTCAGTACTACAAACGATGCCTGGAGACATCCTGTTACGTGTCCGTGTACTGCACAGCTAAGTCCCTAGGGTCAGTCCCTGGCAGTGGGATGCTCACGGACTCTTGAGTCTTTGTAGATGTTTCCAGATTGCCTCCCAAAGCAGCTTTGCTGCTTCATGTGTGCACTGCCACCACGCAAGATGCTTTAATGCAGTCGTGAACGCACACGCACTGACCAGCTGTGGTGTGCTGGACCCGTGATGCCCTGGGAAGGAACAGATGCCTAAGGGCCAAAGGGTGCTCACAGTCTGTTGAGTCAGGCCGTGTGGAGGAAGATGAGGGGTTGATGGGGTTGGACCTCAGGAAACTGGGTTTCGTTACTGGCTCGGTAGCCTATGGCTGCATGGATGTGCGTAAGCCTCATAGTCTAAGTCTCTGTTCCTTCCTTTGAAAATGAAGATAGTAATAACTCCTTCGCTGTAGTGTTAAGAAGGCTAAATAAGGGAATTTATGTGAGGTCTCACAATGCCTACTGTGCAGCAAGCCCTTGATGGCGATGGGGACCCTTACCCAGGAAGCGGTTTTGTCCTGGTGGCAACTGCACTGGGAGCAGGGGGTACCGCACGTGCTCTGGGGATGCACAGGCACAGCCTGTGCCTGGCACTGCTCAGGAAGTGCAGGCACAGCCAAGCAAAGTCTTTGAGTGGAAACAGTGCTTCACCGTGAGATTGTATCGGGGGAAATACAACCCTTTTCATAAGTTCCTCAAAAAGAGCACCCTGCAGCGGGAAACCTCCCAAATACATCGGAAAAGCTGGCTAACAGTTGGGAGAGAGACACCTGGGCATCTCAGGACCCCTGCCGCTTGGATTTTCATCCTGAGGAGTACTTAGTTTTGACCCATCAGCGTTTCCGGTTTTGTTTTGAAGAATTAATCGCAAGAGTAATCCCTCAATTCAGTTTTGATTTCCTCCATTTAAAAAAAATTACAATGGTTAACATGTTTACTGTGAGAATGACAAAATATATTGTAAGCTTTGATATGTTTTTAACCTTCATAATTTGTCTCCTACAAAGGAGGACAAAAAATGTCTCTGCTTGCTTTGGGGAATGTGACTTCTTTGTTTCTGCCATCTTTCTGGGTGGCCACAATTCCTCATATACTGGATTTAACCCTTAGTCTGTCGAGTGCTGCAAGTATTTTTGTCCACGTTACTATTTCCTTAATTTTGTGTATGTTTTTGCTTTGGGAAATGCAGATGTTTTAAATTTTATTAGTGAAGTCAACCTTTTCTTTTATGATTTCTACCTTTGGCTTCATTTTTAGGGAGTGTTTTTTCATTCTCGAGAATATGTAAGTTTTCATTTTATCCTAATGCTTTAAATTTATATTTTTTGTAAAATGTATTCTAAATGCTTTATATTTATTTATACTTTTCATTTATAATTTTTATTTTATATATTTTAATTTATACATTTATCCTAAATGCTTTATTATAAAATGCTTTTTATAAAAAGTATCCTAATACTTTTTAATATTAAAACAGTAATCTTTTTTGAATGTGTATTAAACTATAAGGAAGGAACCTAATTTTTTATTCAAGGTATAGCCCCGGGTCCCAACACCAGGTAGTGAACCATCTGCCCTTTCCTTGCTAATTCGGAGTGCCTGCCCCCTTTGTCATGTACTAAATTTTTGTATATTTTTTGGGTCTGTTTCTGGACATTGCAGTCTTTTCTGTTGATCTTTTGACTTTTCTGGCACTAGTACCAGGGTGTTTTAATTAATATAGCTGTGTAATGGCCCTTTAATTCATTTCAATACCTGGTAAATGAGTCCTACCCCATTATTCTTGTTTTGAAAATTGAGCTGCCTATTTTTAAAAATTCATTTTTGAGATTAAAATAATTTTGTCAGTTTATTCCCCCAAATCCTTTAGAGGTCTTGGTTGAAATTGTGTTACATTTTTAGATTAGTTTGTGGGAAATGGATTTCTTTACAAAGTCTGGTGTTCTCTGGGAATACGGTGCACCTTCCAATTGCCCAAGGCTTTTTCTGTTCCTTTGTGGATGTTTTTGCTTTTACTCATGTTGTTTCTGCACATTTCTTAAGTACATTCCTGATCAATTCATGTTTGTGGTTGTTACTGTTAATGGAATATTTTCCATTATATTTCGAGTCGGTTATTTTTGCTGTATGGAAAAGCATAGGAACATAGCCTCAAATTTCCAGACGGGACCCAGGAGTCTCTGAAGTAATGTTAGTTATTTTCTTGAAATTCTTTTTAAGTTCTGTAAAATAAAATATCAGGAAACTTAGTTTCATAAGAAACTTTCATCCTTGGTAACATGTTTTCGAGGTGAGATTCCCAAAACCAGGTTTTAAAAGGGGCGATTTTGAGACAGGCTGAGTAGCTCCGCTGGCGCCCAGCAGATGGCGGTGTTTCCCAGGCCACTGACGTGGGGTCCGGCCGCGGCCTCGCATTGCAGCCACAGCGACGGGAGGACGCGTTTAAACACTCCACGAATAAGATGCCAGATTCTTGGATCGTAGTAAGTGGGTGAAACGAGCTGCAGCCCGCTGGCGTTTGTCGCCTGAGTGGGAAACACCGGCCCTCTGCGGGGAAGGCCTGCCGCCCAGCCCGGTAGGGGCGCTCTGCTGGCTTTGCCCCGGAGCCCGGGGAGGAGCCCCGGTCAGGGGTCACCGGCGCCTGCCGCAGATCCGCCTGCTCTCCCCGCTCCCTGGCTCAGGACAGTTCCGACCTTGTCTAATTAAGAAGAGAAGCCACCACAGTACCCGTGGCTGCAGCGGGGGGTCTGAGCACGTGCTGTGGGTGCACATGTCCCGCAATCCAGGTGATGGCAGAGTGCCCAGCAGGTCCTCTGACTGCCAACTGGGGCTGCTCCCCCGACCCCTGCTCCCCACCCCCCGCTGATGTCTCCCGTGCTTCTCGTCTCTGTGCCTCAGGCATCTGCGGGCCGGCGACCTCGCACTGGAGTGCACACTGTTTCATGTGACTGGCCTGCATGTCCTGAGAGGCAGGGCTGGGTAGGCTGCCCAGGACTTTGCAGAGCTCCCTGCCTGCCCTGCTGGAGAGGAGAGGCGTGTGCGTGTCCTGCCTGAGTGCTGTGTCCCTGGCGCCGGAGGGGCATGCAGCGGGAGCAGAGCCCGAGTGCGCAGCGCACCGCTGGTCCCAAGTGGGCAGGGTGAGCTGGGATGGGAATGGACAAGCAGTTTACATGAGAAGGTCAGGCTGTCACCTGCGACTTGCTGTGCTGGGATCTGGTTGCCAGGTGTGCTGGGATCTGGTTGCCAGGTGTGCGGGGAGCCGGGGCGAGGCTGAGTTCTCCGTGCGACCCTGCAGGTGGAGCAGCTGTTGGTGGTGACGGCCAGCCTGGCTGCCAGTCTGAACATCTCTCTTGGAACACCCGTGTTCCAGAGAGTCCGTGGCTTCCAGCCCTGACATGTCCTCAGCAGCAGTCCTGTGTGAGTGGCTAGTCCCTGCTGAGCCCTGGGTCACTCTGAAGCCCACAGGACAGCCTCCCCCGTACGGGACGCCACAGGGTGAAGCCTGGGCTGGACCTGTGTCATGGCTCCCGAGTAGTGCCGGCCCGTTGTGCTCCCTGCCAGAGGCCGGAGGACCACCACCTGGACCTCAGAGGGGCCGTGGAGGTCCTCTACCTCGTGACCACCTTCAGGGGACAGCCCACTCCTGTCCCTGGGGTCAGGTCAAGGCCCTGCCTTCCATCGTGAGCCCCAGCTGCCCACTCTGCCTGATGGTGCCGGTGGCTGGTTCTGGTCTCCGTGCTTCCTGGGAGCATTCTGGCCAGAGGACCATTGTGACGCTCTCACCTGGGTGCAGGGAACCCGACCAGCTGGCCCTGTCTCGCCAGGGGGAGGGGAAATGAAGGTAGCCCAGCGCTCTGAACGGCTGCTCCCTGACTGTGGGGACAGCTCCGTCTTCTCTGGCTCCGCTCTGACCCTCCTGCGCCTCCACTTGTCGCTGGCCTGGGGTGCGACTCCGCACCCGGGCAGGTGTAGAGAATCGCTTGGATGCCTGAAGAAGGGAGAGAGGAAAGGAGCTCGTAGGCCCTGTGCACGTGGCGGGGCCGGGGATCCTGGCGTCTTTGCACATATACACATGAAGGAACGGGAAGGAGGGGTGGTGGGCTCCTGAGTTGCTGAGGGATTTTTGTCCCGCTTTGTCTGACTCTGCTTTTTGGATTTTCTAAAATGGTCAGGTATTTCTTTAGAAATCAGAGAAGAGAGATGCCTTTAGAAAATCCCGGTCCCAGAGCGGTCAGTCTGTGAGACCACGGCCCTCTGCACTCTGCTCCTCTCTCCACAGGGGGACTTGACCTCATCTTCATGCCAGGTCTGGGGTTCGACAGAGATGGCAACCGGCTGGGGAGGGGCAGGGGCTACTACGACACCTACCTGAGGCGCTGTCTGCAGCAGCAGGAGCGCAGACCCTACACCCTGGCCCTGGCTTTCCGAGAGCAGGTGTGCCTCCGGGTCCCCGTGGACGAGCATGACGTGAAGGTAGATGAAGTCCTTTATGAAGACTCCTCGGCATCTCGAGTCCTGGCGTCTGCAGCCGAGTGATCGGTGTCCTGCACCCGAGGAAAGCAGAACATGTATTTTCCCTCGTCAGGGATTATTTGGAATTGAACACTAATGTGAATGTGCACTCATTGATTTTTGTGTAATTATAAAATACCCAACATTAAAGCCATCTGTGAAAACCAACAGACGTGTGAACAGCATCGATCACAGCAGAGGCTGCACCACACCGTTCCCAGCCCACCTTCCTGGAATTACCGCGGCGAGTCCACCCTTCTGCTTTGCACTTTGAATTGGGTTTTAATGAGGACCTGCTCACGGGGAGGGGGCACTGCTTCCCCAGGCCTGACCTGGGCCTGCCCGGCCTCAGCGGGCACCTGGAGACCCGGCGGTTGCTGGTTGGTCTGTTGGTGTTGGCCTCATGCACGAAATTCCCCAAGAATTTCCTACCACCGCCTGTGACCTCATTTATTCACCCCGAAATTTTATGTCTGGGACTTTGTAGCTTTTGATGGTTAATGGACCGAAACCTTTTATGATTTAAATACTTTAATTTGGCAGATTTGCTCCCATCTTTATGGGTGTGTGTGTCAGCCGCTTGTGAGTTTAAGGTCTGATGCCCAGTGAGTTGATTCTTTCTGTCTTTTGTGGTGTCTGCTCTGAAAATCTGCGGGCTCTCAGTCACAGCCAGGGGGCCACTGGTGATCTGTGGGGGGCAAGGTGGTGTGACCAGAAACCCCGGAGCCTTCCTCAATGGCTCTTGCTCACCCCCACATCCAGCCTGTCCCTGGGCCGCGTGGCTCTCGCCTCCGACATGCCTCTCACGTCTGTTCTCTCTGTTGTCCTGGTGTCCCTGTCGTCTGGGCTCAGCCTTTCTGAGCAGAACTGGATGAAGGACCCACTTCCGGCTTCCCTTGCTTCAGTCTGGCCCTTTCTCATTCATTCCTCAAACTACAGCCAAGTGGATCTTGTAAAACAATCTGATCGTGCGGCTTCTGGTGGCTGTTGGGAGCCCGCAGGTAACGAGCCAACCCCTCCTTGTGTACTGAGCCCCTTAAAAGGTCTCCCCTCCGTGATTTACAGGCTCCTGTCTGCCACTCCTGTGACCTCCTGACCAGGACCTTCTGCCCTCCTTGCCTTGGGTCCTTGTCCGCCTCCGTGAAGTCTTCCTCCACGTTCCCCAGCAGAGCTGGTGTCCTTCACTTGTTTAAACGGCCCTTGTCATTGTCCCCCTTATATTGTCTGCATATCAGTTATTAGTTGTCACGTCTGTCCCTTCACCAGGCTGTGAGTGCCGAATGATGTTTACATTTCTCACAGTACACATACAGTGGACATGGGAGAATTTTTTGAATGAGTTAATTGGATGCACTCCGATGTGTTGTGTAAAGCTAGATCCATACTCTTTGGATTCATAGATGATAGGGTTTTTATGGACAAAAGAACACTTTAAAAATGTCTATTGGGCTAAATTGGACTTCTGCAGTGTAGTACATACAGGCAGAAATGGGCAGGGAGCAGAATCTGGGCTATAAAATCACCTGATTGTTGTGGTTGAAAAGGTTCAGCATTATTTCAACCGCAAGGTCAGGGTGGATGTTACTGTGGTGGCAGGTTGGTCTGAGATGCTTAAACAGAGGAGTCTGGAGCTGCCACACACCTGGAAACGTCAGCACCTGTGGGCTTGATCTGTTCTGCCAAGGAGAGCACATAAAACTTCTCCCAGCTCGGGCAGACCAATTGCAGAAGGCCAGGCCACCGAGGTTGAGGGCAGTCAGAGGCTGCAGGGCCTGTCACCTGGATGGAGACGGCTGCTCGGTGACCAGTAACGGGCATGGTCATTAC